GAGGCATGAGGATTGGGCAGAAATATTGTTAAGGGCCTTTCCAGCTCTGAGAATATGCATTACTGAAGCATGAAAAAGCTCAGACAGACCCAGACACCTCAATAAATGAGCACACAACTTTCCTACGCATTGCGTTGTCCTGTGCAGTGTGATTAGAGGAGCTACTCTCAGACTTCAAACCATGAATGTAAAACAAAGCTAAGGAGAGCAAGGTCTCTGCTTCAGTGTCATTCATTCTTATTTTGTGAGGTCATGTACTTGAGCTGCTATGTGCAGATTTTGTTTCACCGCTCTCTAGCTACAATCATCTTTAAATCACAGGGAAAAGAGGGCTGTGTAGGCAAATGTACCAGCATGTAGTTGGTGACCAATACGTCTGAACAACAGAATTCAAAGAGGGAAATGGAATGTCACAGCTCTTTACAGAAGTACTTACAAAGATATGGAATAAACCCACAATCACTGGCTGAACTCCCAAATAAACACTTAATAGACAAATTTGTACCAGGAATGAAATTACTTGCTAAACCAACTGGGCCAAATCGTTAAGAGTGAAGAGTCGTAAGTGTTTTCTGAACTCAATGGGAAAGAGTCCTGGTCTGAGAATTGAGACTTGATCAGGTTCTAGACCTAGTTTTTGCTGCGTGGTGCCAATTTGTCACAGTGTTGTTTTCTGGGTCTAGGATTCTTCCTCTACTAGGACAGGGCTGTATGTACTAGCACCATCTCTGAGGCCCTTTCCAGCTCTGACATTCTAAAAGTCATTAATTCAGTCAATACTCCCTCTCTTTCGTGTTACTTACTGAAGACTTCCACTCACTGTTATTCTGGAGGTCATGTGGGATCACACACTGCTGTGCTGACTTCATTTTATCTCTTAATACCTTTTGTCATCCCTTTCCCTTCTCCTTGTCTGTCAGGCAGTTCAAACTGCTGTAGAAGAAATTTCCCCAATACTCTCCATCACCTTTATGATCCTGAAATCCTGAAGTCCAACGTTGCTGCCACTTTCTCCACCTTATGCCCCTTGGTAATCTAACCAAGTCTCTTCTTGTAGTGGACTTGGGTTCCAAGGTAGTTAGGAGCCCAATGACATCCTGAAAACTTTTTTCAGCTAATGTGGTTCTCCTTCTGAGACCTTCCTTTTCCTTTCCCCATATCCTTGTTTCTCAATCAAAAGAAGGATGCTAATATGGGGCCCAGGAAGAGAAAAGACAGTGTGGCCTAATAATAGTAGTCAGCTGAGATGGAATTTCAGTGTCTGAGATTTCCCCAATAGTAAAATACTGGCCTTAACTAGATGTTGGTTGAACCTAAAGCCCTTATAAATTCAGATCCCACCTTGAAAAGTCAGTTCCCCCACTGAATTTGCTGCTCCCTTTATAAAATGAAGATGTTTACATTGGCTCATTTCAGAAGCCCCTTCTGCCTCCCACAGTTTATGGCTGTGTGTGATTTTGGGGAGGCAGGAACTAGATGAGAGCAAATACCAGGGCATTATAGGGCCAAGCCTTTAGTACTAATGCAAATTACAGGCCTGGGAGGAGTGGCTCCCCTGAGCTTCAGTAGCTCTGGTTGATGCTTCCCCTTTCTTAGCAAAATGCCCTGAAGTGCAAGGACTGTTCTGGAGTGGGGGTGGGGGTAGGGTGGAGCTCTAAAAGGATGAGGAAGTATCTTAGAGCAGCTGGTTATTCTTCCCCATCATGCCCTCTCTCCCTCTCCTCCTTCCCTCTGGACAGGCAGGTAGATGCCTCAGCTGGAAAAAAGAGTAGCTTCCAGTTCCCATATAGGAATCCAGATTATTCCATAATTCAACACCCTCCCCTACCACCTCCACACACACACACACACACACACACACACACACACACACACTCCTCCATCCTTTGTCTTTACTGCTGGCCCCTTTATGGAAGATCCAGCTTCTCCCTAATCACCTCCCCCACAGCCCCAACTTTTCTTTTATCCATTTAGGTGTATCCCCTGCTGCAAATTAAACAATTTATTCCCCCAAACTTGGAAGCCGCTCTGACTTTTCTGGTGGAAATGAAAAGAGAGGCACTACATTGCCTGGCTGAGGCTCTTTCAGGCACTGAGCGCCGAGGCTCTCCCACTGCCATAGCTGAATCAGTACGGGAGATCCACAGAAAGTTTAGAGCTTGGCCTTTCTCTCTTAGCAGGACTTGGCCCTGTAGGTAAAAGGTGTTCCTCTGAAGGTAAGGTGAAGCTCTTGCCGATATACTTTGCATTTAGAGATACTGGAGAAGAGTACAGGAACACAAGGAAACTGATAGGAGTGAAAAAAAACCTGGCTGGGTGTCAGAGAAGACAGGGGTTGACTACTTACTAACATTAAGCAAACTTTATGAGCTTCAGTTTCCTCATTTCCAAAGCAGTAATACTAGTCCTTCCTGCCCAGTCTCCTTTACAGATGTAACAAGTTTCAAATGACTAACCCAAAATACTAGTTTTAAATGCCACACAAAGTGAGTTATCAATATTCCTTAAATTCTAGAAAATATGCAACTGAGGCAGCTGCCAATCAAAGTAAAAGGATGTATCTGGGAGGGGAGGAGGAAAGGTGTTAGGACTTCTCTCAGGAGATACCTCTTCTTTAAGCAAGTCCAGTCCTCAGTTTGTTCAGAACACCCAAAGTGGGACCAATGAGCCATGCTACCGGGGTTCCTAGACTTAGCCCCATTCCCTTGTTCAAAGAAACAAAATACTCACTAGAGGCAAATACATGTAGCCCAAGGTAGGCTGTGGCCCAGGACCTAGAGCCACCTTTCTCCACTGAGCCTCACTAGCAGCTGGGTCAATCCAGCCTCCCTTTAGGCCTTGCTGGGGCTGGCTGGGACTGCTCCTGGTCTAGCAAGAATGTTTTCTCCTCCTTCTGTCTAGGGTTCTATGCTAGAAAAAGGCCATAATCTAAGATGGAACCAAGCCAATATCCCTCTCCACTGTGGTCTAAGTTGTGATGGAAAAGTGCACTGAGCCTGGTTCTGGAGCTTGCTTTGCTACTGGTTAGCAGTATGACCCTGAAGAAGTCACTTCCCCACACTTAGCCTCACTTTCCTCATAAGCAACGGAGCAGGGAGTGGGGGAGGGCAGAATAATATTATTGCTCTACCTACACCACAGGGTGTTATGAACACTTGAAGAAACTAATGGGCCAATGTACTTTTGTAGAAGATTGAGGAAATGTTACCTGCTGAAACAGACATCAATAACTCTGCACCAACAGAAAAATAAATCCCCTCCCAACCACATGTTAGAGGAGAAAACACTACCTATGGTAACTACTTCAGCCACATGGAGTGTTCTGTTCTGCTTTCACTGGACCAAAGTACATCTAGTCACTCCTTGAGTTACATTATCACTTTCACTTTGTCACATTTCCATTAATTTCACAAGTTGGAGGCAAAAAGCGTAAATAGCAGCCCAAATGTAATTTGTGGTAGTTCTAGAGAAAGATCATTCAAGAATGTCACCATCTGCTACCACTTGTAGAATTTTAGAGCTGAAAGGCCATTTAGATCACTCTTGACTATCAAGCCCCTCCAACTCAGTGCTTGTTTCTAAACCCCCTAGCTGGCAAAGGCTCAGACAGATGAGGGCCAGAGCTGCCATATTATAGAGAGTAAGAGTAATAAAGTCCTGACTCACTTGGAACAATCTACAAGAGGCAGTGATCTTCTCCAAAAGGGGAATAAGGTAGAGGTTGAAGGAAGGGCTCCCCTTTCCTCCTGTGAATCCCAGATACAAAGAGAACTTCCTTCTTCTAGTGGAGCTAGTTACCTGCCTTCCTATTTGGAAACTAGTTTCATCCCTTTACCCTAACATATCCTGAAGTCTTGTGGATGATGCATGCCTGAGGGGTGACAGGACAGGAAGCATGAGTTCTTCTAGTGTCAGAGAAAGTTGCTACTAAAATAGGTTTCGTTTAGCATTCATAAGAACTGAGGTAAATGACCCCAGAGTATACATTGCAGGCTTATGAGAAAACAGGAATTTTCCAAAGGCTAGTTTGAAACCCAGGCGCTCTTGACACCTCTATTACACTTCTGTCTGCCCACCTCTGATCACCAGCTTCTCAGAGAACAGGGATGCAGCCAGTTTGCTGCTGAAAGGATACCAAATTGCTGTTACCTTTTCCAAAGCACAAACACACACCCACACACACCCACACACACCCACACCTAGCCTACTTCTTCTGAACCTAAACATCCTTTTTTTTTTAATCCTCGCCTGTGGACATTTTTTGCATTCATCTTCAGATAGAGCGGGAGGGAAGAGAGAGAGAGAGAAACATTAATGTGAGAGAGACACATAGAGTGGCTGCCACCCACACGACCCCAACCGGGGCGGGGACAAACCACAACTGAGGTATGCGCCCCTAGCGGGAACTGAACCCAGGTCCATCCAGTCCGCGGGCCAATGCTCCAACCACTGAGCCAAACCGGCCAGGGCTAAACATTGGTTTTTAAATCTTCACCCAAGGATCTTTTTCCATTGATTATTTTAGATAGAGTGGGAAGAAGGGAGGGAGAGAGACACACACACACATCAATTGGTTGCCTCCTGAGTGACTCCAACCAAGGCCAGGGATCGAACCTGCATGCCCTTCACTGGAATCGAACCCTCAACCCCTCGGTCCATGGGCCGATGCTCTAACCACTGAGAAAAACTACCCAGGGCTGAACTTAAACATCTTAATCATCAGAAAAAAATTCAGAAGAATGGCATTACAGAAAATGCACAAGGAGTCCCAAGGCATAGATTCAAGCCTTGGCACTGCCATCTATGAGCTGTGTGACCTTAAGCAAGTCACTTCATCTCTCTGGGACTTCATCCTATAAAATGCAAACTATCAAACATCCTTACAGGATTTTGTAAAAACTGAATAGAAGACGTGAAAGTACATTATGAATAACTTGAATTAATCTCTTTCTGGTGCTACACCTGACTATTAAAAACAAAAATGTTCATATCCCTCCAAAAACAAAATTTTTTTTTTAGAAAAAAACCTCTACCTACCTAGGAAAGCACTCAATATATTTAATAAGTAACTCTTGGACACAACAGGCTTTTATAGCTCCAAGATCCTGAAAGCACATGAACTTGACTGCAGTCTATTTAAACTAAGTCTTATGTCCTTGCTTGTCCTAAGAAATCTCTCTTGCCTTTCAGATTACATGAAAGAATCCGTGTGCAGTTCTAGCACTTGCTCCTTGAACAGCAGTGAAAACCCTTACGCCACAATTAAGGACCCACCCATCCTCACCTGCAAGCTTCCAGAAAGCAGCTATGTAGAAATGAAGTCGCCTGTGCACAGGGGGTCTCCGTACACAGATGTGCCATCCTTGTCGACATCTAATAAAAATATATATGAAGTTGGTAGGTGTCTCAAATAAGTAACTTAGCGAAATCAGGGCAACAGTGCAGCATCTGAAATAAAAACAATCCCTCTCCCTTCACCCTGTCTTGAAAACACACCTTTCTTTCATTGCTTTTTAAGGAATCCAAGGTGAACTGCCTTTCCCAGGACTGCACTCCTCTCTCATGCAGGAAATCAAATTCTTGTGCCAACTCTGCTTTAAAAAAAACACCAGGACTAATATGAAGCAGAAATACTGGGGGGTAAGTGGGTACACACACATACACTTCAACTGATTTTTGGCACAAATCCCAGTTTTAAAAAGAAAATAATTAGAACAGAACATTTATTAACTTTCTAAATCACCACCTTCTACGTTCTCCAATTTAACCCATGTCCCTGGGCTCATTGATAATAAGACCCCTACTTCTAGGGTATCCTAAACCTCTTGGTTTTGAACAGAGCTTGGGATTCTTACAGCATGCTCACTTATGTTTTCCATCTCTTGAGCAAGGCCCGGTTCTAACCCTCATATATTTATCAGAGACTTATAAATCCCTGACTTCTCTCCCCATCCAGTTAAATAGAATTCTTTTCCCCGCAACAAGGCAACCAAAGCTAATCTGTCCTCTGAACTCATTTTTCACTATATTCCTTAGTGCCCACAGTCAGTGTGGTCCAAGGTCATGGTCATAACTCCAGCTATATCCAGAATCCATATGACCTACCTAGGAACAGCCATATTCCTGGTCATTATGACCTCCTCCCAGTAAGTCAGAGCCCTGCCAATAAGCCCTCCCAGGATAAGCAGTCTTAAGAGGGATAAGCTTCTCTCTTGCAATGTGCTTTGGTGAATATTCTCTGACTCTCTGAAAGAAGACAATCCCTTGACTTGAAATAATGGTACAGACTGACTCCAACTGTGTATTAGTTATTTCACCTGGAATTAAAGAAGAGCTTCCAAGTGGGATTGGGGTAACTGCTCAAAAGGTCTGTTTGCAGAGGTAAATCCCACCACCCACCCAACCTCAACCACAAATGACCTGGATTATATGATCTTTTAAAACATTTAGGATACAACTACTCACCAGCTTCAGATAAATATAGCTAACTATATTTATTTATATATTTAATTATCTGAAACATGATGCTTAAAAAGCATGTAGAACAGGTTTTACAAACCTTCCTAGGGGGAAAAAGGGACTGGGGAAGGGAGAGGATTAATTTTAAATAGCTGAAATGTATATGTACTTTTTGGTTGCTGTTACCATCAACATCTGTTTTATTACCTAAGATAATTAGTACATAGACAAAAACTGTGCTACTATCAATCCTAAAGTACCTGTACGTATATATCTATCAAGATTAGAGAGTTTATTATGTAGTCTAATGCTAACAACTTCAGTTCTTTATAATAAGACTTAAATAAACACAAATTAACTTTCCCTCTTCTGTCCCTGCTGGTAGAAGAAAAAAAGTTTTCAAAGATCAATAGCCTCTTTCAGCCTAAGACAATATTTCTAGGGCCGTTTTTAACCAAATCTTGCCAATTCAAAGTTCCAGAACATTGCAAGTCAGCCCTGGCCTTGTCATATCTCCTTAGTCCACCCAACACCTGAGTCATTCCATGGGATATAAAACTGAGATGATTCTTTAAGCAAGGAGTCACAGGTTGATAAGTATCACTAAAAATGGCTATTTGGCCTCTCAAATTTATTTGGTTGGCATTCCTTGACTCAGAAGAGTAATTGCTTTCAAGTATTTCTTCATAAATCTTGAGTTTGTTGTAATATGGAACCTAAAAGTATAAAGGAAATTAGACAATACAGGATACATCAAGTTTAAATTCTTAAAGAACATTATACTTTTTGATGGAACTAAACTGAAATGACCAAAGAAAGAACGGACTGCAATTGGTTGCTGTAACATGATGTAAAAAATTTAGAGTAAACAGCATATAAGGACATGAAGTACTTCTACCTTCCAACTTAAATCCACCACCTGCTGAGATGGCCAAAACTGAATTACAGTGAGCTAATGCTCCAGATCCCAGTATTCAGACATGTCTATACCTTCCATTATTAATGAACCTAGGTAAAACTGGGGCTCAGATGAGTCCAAATGGAGTCAACTCCCAAGCCCTAAAGAGGACCTCCTCACAATTAAAGAGCAAAAGGGCAACCAAGAAAACTTATGGGCACCCCTATGCCACTCCATTCTCTGATAACAGTTCAGCCAGTAAAAATACTTTCAAAAGGTATACAGAAGAGGAACTATGTGACTGCAAAGCTGGAATAGATGCTACAAGAAGTGTGGGAGTTCTGAAGCCCTTGATACAAATTGGAAGTTTGCCATGGAACCCATTAGTTTGGGCAATAACCAGCAAAAGCAAGGAGAGAGAAAAAAAGTAAACCCCCTCTTTCCCCACTTCACTCAAAGCTTAAGCAAATGTTGTTAGGAGAAAATATCTAATACTTAACATGAATGCTGCATGTGTGCATGGAGCAAGTGATCAGCAATAGCAAATTTACTTTCCAAAAAAGCCTTATATAAAGACTAGAAAATTACTTTGTAGACACAAGTAATTATTTCTCATACATGAGTAGAAAGAAATAGAGATAAGAGACTTACCTCAGTATTTTAGGGCAGCAAGTGCTCAATTATCTTTGTGAAGCAAGGACCAAGAATCATGGTGAAGTCAGATCAGCAAGGAGAAACTTCATCTCAATTCCAGGTTTAATCTTCTTCCCTTACCCTGCATGTATAGTAACTGCTGCCTGGCAAACTGCAAACAAGCACCATCACTCACGTTTTAAGTTTCACCTCTTTTTTGCCAACAATCTTCTGGGCAAATTTCAGCAAGAGGTGGCATGATGGAATTGCTAAGCACTGGGTCAAGAGATGTGAGTGTTACTTGCCCTCTCTGGGCTCTTTTTTCCCCTTGTGTAAAAAAAGAAAGAAGCAAAGAGGGGTAAGGGAACCCTAAGACCCTTCAGCTCTAGCATTCTGATTTTTAAGGAAATGTACCACAAATTAAATCAGGCAATACAGGAAAAGGGAAAGACAGAGAGTGTGATTAACTGTTGACAACAGTTTTCTTCACATATCTAAGAGTTACTGGTAAAAGACATTTCAATCTTTTAGAGCAACTGTTAGGAACTGTCTAGCACTGTCAAAAATAAGTTCATGTTCAATCTAAACATGTGCACTATGGATTTTATTGATAACTTGGAAAGATCTGTTCAAGAATTTTACAGAAACTAAGTTTTCACTCAAAGTGATGTGCATATAATTCAAATGAATAAAGAAAAACAATTATTGTACAATAGAATAAGTGAGACTGAAATGGCAATACTTTTTTTAAACAACCCAGATTTGTAATATATTTGTTCACTGTGCAGAGGGATCATACCTTGTACAAAATAAAATTAATTTCTCAAACTAATTTATAGGAATGCCTACTGTTGTGCTGCAAACCAAAAATGTGTTTATAATCTACACCTTAGGTTTAAAGGTAGACCTAACCTACATTTTGTGGGGTCGCTTTAGACAGAAGAGTAAAAATTATCCCATAGATGCTTGAAAATAAAGTGGAAAAGTTCTATCAAATTTATAACAAGAGAGTTTCTTCCTTTAAAGTAATGAATGGGAGCTAATATTCTTAATCCATATCCAAAAATTATTGAAATATCTCATAAATGTCAGTATACTCAAATAAAGAATGTATCTGCTTTCACAAAGATTTGGATTCAAAGGCAACTATTACAGCTTGTGCTCAGCTCCAGAGGCACAAAGGTAGTTCTATGGAATGGAATAAAGGCAAATTAGGGTCACTTAATTTGCATAAGAGCAATGAATGGCTTTCCACTAGTAGAAGTTATCACCCAGTACAGTATTCAGGGTAAATCTGCTTTAGGGCCTTTTAAAACATAACCTTGTGACCTAACTAATAAAGAAGTAGCAGGATTAATTTTATTACAAAATGTAGATGCTAAAAATAGCTTTCTGAATGTATTTAATGGTGTAAGTTTAAAATTTCTCCTTCAGGCTTTCGAAGGTTTGTACATACTTAAGTCAAATTAAAACATTTCAACTTGTCAGTTCACAAGGCTTGTGTAACACTCAAAAGCTACTCCCATTTAATGTTTAACCAAAAATATATTTTTGCTAGAGATTAAAACTCATTCCGAAAAGACCGACCTCCTAACAGACAGCTCTCAAGGGCTAGAGCTTGACATTTTAGTGAAAGATAAAACAATCAAGAATTTTAAGACTCAAAAGGATATTTACTGAGAACAACAGTTTAAGATCATGACTTACAAGGTTCAGAATACTACCCAACACCATAAATGACAAAGGCTGCAGGTTTTGTACTCCACAGAACATTCAAGACTGTTACATGCTATTAGCCATTCACCTAGCATATAGCAGAAGAAGAGATGGGAAATCTTTCTTAGAAGGGATGGATGGATACACAGGGATTCATTATACTATTATTTATAATTTTGTATAATTATATATTACTTAATTATAATTTTATATAATTTTTAATTTAAAAAATTTAACCTAAATTGTCATTGTCAGACTATAGTTCCCCAAGCTAACCTAAAATGAACCCTAAGGTGAGCCCCTTCACTCTTTTAAATGATCCTTCCTTATCGTCTGACACAGGGTTGTAGAAGGGATAGATAGTAAGAATGTAAATATGAACAAAGCACATTCCCAGTTTTTGTGGATCTCACAATGTAGCAATTACAAAATGGAGGGCCCAGGTGGTTAGGGGAGTGCCGATTATACATTTTATTCAGACTTGCAGAGCAAGAAAGACTCTGAGCAGTGGTCCAATCCAAACCCACATAAGGCAGAAGCTCTGGTATGTAGCTAGAGTTGCCAGAATCTCTCCTCATTCCAGCTTCTGCCTCCCAAGCTATTGTCTAGCCCAGCAGATGACCCTCAGAGCCTTGTGTAAGAAAACAAAACAAAACATGGGAACTTGACATCTTACAAAGTACTATTATAGGTATCCACTTAAATATAAACCAAGACCAGTAACTGAGAATCCTAACATCTTCTTCCAGAATTGCTTTCATATCGAAGATGGGCTACAGAAATAGTGTTGTTTCCTGGGGCTCCCCAGGCTGCCCTGTTTCAGGCATGACCTTCTATAATATTCTTAGGCCCATATGATGAAATGCTTCGGCATAGAGACTAGCACAGTATAGATAGCAACTTCTTAAAGATAAGGTAAGGAACCATACCACTTCCCTCTAGAGATGTAAGAAGATGGTATGCTGAAAGACTGGAAGTTTGCAGCAGGGGAACAGGTGCTAAAAGCAGTAGTACATTTATTTATTGTAATATCCCCATTGATGGGGATAGTAAGATCTAAGATTTTGTATATGGGGCAATGTTAAGTTCCACTGACTTAAACATAGGAAAAGAAACCTGTTGGCTACTATTTTTCCCTACCATCACTGGTACCGGGTAACAGAGTAGTTAACAGCCAATATACATGACATCTGTACCAGGACATATCAGTTCTGTGCTTAATAATGTTAAATAATTGGATTTGAATGTTTAGGCTACTAATGATTAGATTACCATACTAACAGCCAAATAATGCCATTATTGTGTGTTTACATACATAAACTTATATATACTTGGATTCCGTCACTGGTTCTATTAGCTAGCTAGCTCTGTGGATTGATCTACCTTCTTTTAGAGTCCATTAGAGATAATAAAAAAATTTAAACACAGTATGTTTTTAAAAGTTCTCTCCCAAATATCAATATATTTAAAGTAAACCCAGCCGGTGTGGCTCAGTGGATTGAGCCTTGTCCCATGGACTGAGGTCCCAGTTCAATTCCTGGTCAGGGCACATGCCTGGGTTGCAGGTAGGGGGCATGCAGGAGGCAGCCAATCGATGGATCTTTCTCACATTGAGATTTTTATATCTCTCTCCCTTCGTTTCTCTCTTTTAAAAAAAAATAATAATAAAGTATATATTAAAAGCCAGTTATTTTAATAGCAAAAGCCAGAAACAAGCAGTTCTTGAGTCACAGTTGACACAGTAGCCAATCAAGTGTTCCTCCCCTTTTAGCACATATGGTATTTTGATGCATATCATATTGTGAAACTGACAGTCATTTTGCAAGTGTTCTGAAAGCTTTCATCTTATTTAATGGCGTTAATAAGAAAATAAAAATAACGTTCTAATCAAGTTATGATGATAAAACCAAAATCATCATGCAAAGTATATACTTGATTTTTACTTATCTATTAAATTTGAATTTGAGTTAGAATGAATAATTTGACTCTATACCTGAAGAGAGAGTTCATTCATAGAATTATTGGATTGGAGATGGGGTGAGCCCCTAAATGATTTAATCTAGTCCTCTCATTAACTGGAAGGTGAGGCTCAGAAATAAAATGACCAAAAGAGCTGTGACTAGCCCTGGCCAGTGTGGCTCAGTGGTTAGAGGGTTCAATTCCTGATCAAGAGGCAACCAATCGCGATGTGTCTCTCTCACATCGATGCTCCCCAATTCCTGTTCCTTCCTCCCTTCCACTCTCTAAAAATCAATGGAAAAAATATCCTTGGGTGAGGATTAACAACCAAAAAAGAGCTGTGAATAGAACCCATGTCTTTGTCACCTAGTCCAGTGCTCTATTATACTTGTCATTTTCTTTTTACTCACAGAGTTTGCATATTTTCTACTATCTGCCTAGAATCAAGTTGCTTTCAAATAGTCTTTATCTTCCAATCCAATTTTCAGGGAAATGGATACTTCAATTAAAATTATCTCTCGGCATAATGGTTCTCCCTTACCTAAGTTGTAATGACAATAGCATTTTGTATTGCCTTATTGTTTCCATCAGCTTCCTACAGTTTGGGGAAGCATACTATTTAGATTGACAACTCCAGTTTATTTGGCACATCGTATAGGTGGTAAAAAAGGTGACCTATCATACCAGAAAAAGGGTATGGCACCAGTCCAGCCCTAACCAAGAGAGAAAAAAAAATCAGCCCTATTCTCTTCAGCACTAGTCTGACTGTTTGGCTAACCTATTAAATAATGTGGCTGGAGAGGAAGGACTCTTTCATGGTCTTTGCTCATATTTCTTTCACACAGGGAATGGGTATCATGCACAGTTCCTTATACAAAACTCATGTTTTGTTTTGAATTTTTTTTTTTCAGGCTTATGATGTTTGTGAAACATCAAACCAATCTCCACTTTATCCTCTGTTAAAAGAGCTCCATAAATTGAAACCTAATGGGTTGTAATTAGTTTTTAATTATCCACCCAGTCCTTGAATTATTCTGCTTCTGATGTTGGCCCAAACTGTCTAAGTAGTAGTTTTGTCTCTTTAAGGTAGACGGAAGAGATTATCACAATAGCTCAAACCATTGAGAGTATTTGTATTTTGTAAATCAAGTCAATATAAACAAAAATTAAAATGTTCATTTTCCCAATGATGGAATAAATATGACTAGATTTAATGGGCAATCCAAACCCTTAAGAAGTTTAACTTTTCTGCAGAACCATTCAGAACTTAAAGACCTCTGGCCTAAGTCAACGGCTAGCACTTCTTAGAATTTAGCATACTTAATGCAATGGCTAAATTTTAAAAACTTAGCCTTACAGAGTAATAACTACTTTTAGAGAGAAATCACAGAAAGCACTTGAGAATATTTACACACAAGTTTACCAGTCAAGATGGCTAACTGCCTTTTCAGGAGAATATAATAGATACATTTTTTTAAAATCAACATTAAAATAACTGAAAAGCAGGGTCAAGCAGCAAAATAATTCTACTAAACTGCCTTGAGCCCTAAACTGTCATAATATTTTTAAATGTAATGTTTCTTACTTGACACAGTTTGTCTCATGAGATACTATTCAGAATGAAGACACTTGTTGAAATACAATCAAAGCCATTTTCTACTACTTCCGGGTTTCTTGGACTGCTCCTAAGACCCAACCATGACCAAGGCAACATTAAGTTTTTACTTGATAAAAATTCAGTTACTTGCCCTGGCAGGTTTGGCTCAGCGGTTAGAGCATCGACCTGCGGTCCACAGAGACTCCCGGGTTTGGTTCCCGCTAAGGGCGCATACCTCTAAGGGTGCATACCTCGGTTGCAGTTGTCCCCAGCCCTGGTTGGTCGTGCGGGTGGCAGCCACTCGATATGTCCCTTTCACGTAGATGTTTCTCTCTCTCTCTCTCTCTCTCTTCCTCTCTCTCTTTCCCACTCTATCTGAACAAAAATATGGAAAAATGTCCTTGGGTGAGGATAAAAAAAAAAATTCAGTTAATCATTTTCAATTCACTACCTAGTTTCTCCTTCTCTTAAATAATTTTGTGAAAAATTTCTACCAATTTTCAGTAAAATAAATAGTAATGGAGCCTCTTCCTGGGTCTAGTGACTCAGTTATGTATGAAAGTGATTAATTACTTCCCTTATATTTTTGGTAATACTTTTTCCAAGTAAAGCATAACTGAACTACATGTCTAAAATCAAAGCTGAACTCACACAACGGTGCCTCCAATTCAATGTTTACTCTGTAATGCAAGGACCTATATGCTCTCATTCATCAGAATCAAATATTCTATGGCTATAACCAAAGCAAAGGGAAAATGTAATCTGACAACATAAAGAATAATCCCCCTATAACTGTTTATTAGAATGTGAATATATCCAAATCAGTAACTAAAAAAAGTCAAGTTACAGAGCATGCATAAAATACAAAGTAACAATTTACAAATAGATAATAGTCATCATACCAATACACTAAAATAAGAAAACCAAAATGACCAACCACAGCAATGCCTTCAGTGTGCCCCACACGTCATGAGCATTGCAAAAGACAGGAGATTAACTATGAAACATAGTAATCTATGCAATCCCACACACATATATATTTTGGGGATTTCCACCATCCTGAATAGAATCACTTCAGTTGACACAACTTTCAGAACACTGCAGAGTGTTTAATATTATCCACAAGAAAGTAAAACTAAATATTAGTGTGCACATTTCTGAATGAGAAACTAGTTGCTCCATTAATTTTAATAATGTAGTAGAAGAAAACTATTTCAGGTCTGTTTAATGGCCTAAATGCATTCTATTTAAACTCAAAGTACTATTTCATCTTAAGTACTAAAAGAATACATGCCTTTAAGTAATACCACTTGAGCAGAAATTAACCTCTCACTGTATTCTTTTGACATACTGAAACCAGATATTTAACTGGACTATATTCCATAATATACTGCAAAACTCAAAAATCAGCATTGTTAAAATAATTACCCATGCCTGCTGGTGAATGTGGTGATAAAACTAGGTTGCATTTCATTAATGGAAGGTTTTGAGACAAAAATTACACTTCACAATTTGATACGAAGAGCATTAAACCAGTTATTGCCTGAGCAATAAAATGCCACATAATCTACTGCTGGGAAATTAGATAAATTAAATGACTTATCATTAAACTTAGGCTGCCTAATCATTCCAACAGAGGCACCTCAGATGGAATTCCACCAGTCTCTACAGTTCCCAGACTGTCAGGCAGCACCATTTAACATATGGCCCCAAACTACCACAGCTAAAACCACAATACAGTCTTTTGTGTTTATTAAGATAATTCTTGTCCAGAAAAAAAAGTGCCCTCTGGAATCAGCTTTGATGCTTACCAAAATTAAAAACAAAAATTACTGAACTATATAACCCTATTAAGGCATTTTAGAAAATGACTTCCAAAATAATGGAAAATTTTCAAGCTCTCAAAATCCTGCTAGGTTTATAGGGCAATTCTTAGATTTGTGGGAATATATGCTGCACTAAAAGAAGAGTGTATGAACTGTAAGCAGTTCTGTGGCAAAATGATAGCTTATTTCTAGTCTTCTTCGTTTGATGTGATTAAGACCAACAGGTCTGAGCTTCAAGTGATCAAGTTCTATTTTGTTCTACAGTGACAGGTTTCCATGATGAAAAGTAAACAATAACTGAGGAATCCAAACATTCAGTTTATTAAACTAAGGCTAGTGAAGCCATAGCGTGAAAAAAAGCTGCAGTCATTCGGGACAAATGGATGATTTTATAAAGCTAAAATCAAGACTTAAAACACAAAAAATTTGTTAAGTATGAGGAAGTAATAAAACACAAAAGTGACCACAATTACAAATATATTTAAATCTCAGACCTGGGAAATGAACTATACACGGCCTTCTATGGGAGAGGAGAAACGCCTTATATGTTCTGACAGCACTGCACCTTTGGCTTATTTTCAGTGGTTGGAGGAACATGAATAGGAACCACATTGTTGCTTGGAGACATGTCATTTTCACGTCTGTCTGACATTTGCTTCTGGGAAACAATGCGGTATATCTCTGAGTGGAAAAAAGAAGAAACAGCAATACTCAGTGATGAATAGGCCCATCAATGGTTGACATAAAAAGGTAGAATATATCTTTATAGGGAAAACGGCAAACAAACTAAACAGAAAAGGCATAAATTTAAAGTTTTATTTTCAAACAGCCACTGATTAGAGTTAACCCATTATTTTTAACAATTTCCCTTAGATTAAGAAGAGAAACAAAGGTCATAGTTTATGAGCTTATATCTAAATTAAACCATGAGAGCCCTGGCCAAATGGCTCAGTTCGTTGGAGCATCTTCCTGTACACCAAAAGGTGGCAGGTTTGATTGCCAGTCAGGGTGTGTACAGGAGGCAACCAAACAATGTTTCTCTATCACATCAATGTTTCTCTTTCTCTCTGTCTCTCTCT